CTTGGTTCAAAAATGTCAAAACCATTTAGGTTTTCGGGCTAGAGGGTCTTGGCAAAAAACATTTAAAGTTAAAACGAAAACGTTAAAAAATCCACATTTATAGTTTGGTGGGCCTTGGTGAAAAAATGTTTTAAAAATCCATATTTCTGAGTACCTCAGATCTTCGTTATTATTTTTTTTTTTTAAATTCTGAATTATTGGGCCGGAAGCAATTTTTTAAATTTTTAAAAAATCTATATTTCGGCGTCTGAAGTTCTTGGTTTAAAAATCTGAAAATAATTAACATTTTTGGGCTAAGGGTCTTAGTAAAAAAGTTCAAAAATCCTCGTACTTTTGGGTCTGAAGGTTTTGGTAGCAAAAAATCAATATTTACAGTTTGGAGGGCCTTGATTAAAAAAAGTTTTAAAAATCCAAGTTTCGGGATCTGCAGCTCTTAAATTTGTGTTTGAGGGTCGCAATTTAAAAATGTCAAAACTATTTATTTTTTTGGGCTTGAGTGTCTTCTTGGTAAAAAAGTTAAAAAACTTATGTTTTTTTGTGGTATCAAAATGTTAAAAAATCCACATTTATAGTTTGGTTGAAAAAATCACATTCATAGTTTGGAGGGTCTTGGATAAGAAATGTAGGTTCCAGGGTCTGAGGGCCTTGGATAGAAAAAAAACACATTTTGAGTACATATGTACGTTTTGGAGTGTGAGGGTGAAATAAAAAAATATAAATCCGAGGGCTTTGGATCAAAAAAAAAAAAAAAAATAAATAAATAAATAAATAAAATAAAAAAAATACAAAAAAAATGTTTTTGGATATTAGGGTCCTGTTGTAAAATTCGTAAAAAACCGAATTTTTGGTTTGTCAGGGTCTTGGTTAAAATATCCTCGTTTTTTCCAAAGTCTTTTTTAAGTCTAATAACTTATTATTATTTAAAAAAAAAAGTTTTTCCCAAATTCTCGTAAAAGAGATATGTTTTTTTGGTATCAAAATGTTGGTTGAAAAAAATTCACATTCATAATTTGGAGGGTCTTCATTAAAAATGTAGGTTCCAGGGTCCGAGGGCCTTGGATAGAAAAAAAAAAAGAACACAATTTGGGTACATATGTACATTTTGGAGCGTGAGGGTCTGAAATAAAAAAAATATAAATCCGAGGGCTTTGGATCCAAAAAAAAAAAAAAATAATAATAATAATAATAAATAAATAAATAAATAAAAAAAAATTTTTGGTCTCAGGGTCCTGTTGTAAAATTCGTAAAAAACCGAATTTTTGGTGTGTCAGGGTCTTGGTTAAAATATCCACGTCTTTTTCCAAAGCCTTTTTTAAGTCTAATAAATTATTATTTTTTAAAAAAAAACTTTTTTCCGAATTCTCGTAAAAGAGATTTTTTTAAATTCATAATTTTATAAATTCACAAAAATTGTATTCCTAGATTTCCCTCCAAATGACCTTGAATAATAAAAATCCCCCCTCTGGCCCATATTAACACCTGCACTTCAAAATATAACGCACACCTTATTTATGATGAAATTAAATTTTACAACAACTATCGAATGTGGTGGTGATTGATGTCGACCGGACAACTGTAGGTGTGGGTGTTTGTGTGTACTTGATGAACCGAAGGTATTCATCAATGGCTGGGTTGCCGCTTTGCGGGAACTCCATAAAATATTAAAAAATTAAAATAAATTTGGTCGATATTTTTTATTTGGGGGTTAGAAAGTCTTGGGTATGGGGGAATTCGAATTGAAGAGGTACCAAAGTCTAAAATTATAGGCATTTAAAATATAAAAGACGTTTTAAAGTACTTTTGTGGACGAAGACATTCCATAGACCTTCCATGAATTTTGATTTGAGGATTAATTGAAATGCTCAGAGTATATATTGTATGGGTCTATGTAGATCTTTGAAATTTGGTACAAAGTTTGGCAGTGAAAATTCATAAGGCTCTCATGCAGCGTTATAACTTGACTATCGGCAAAGTTTCAGACGTAGTTTTAAGCAGAATAAGCTGGATGGATTCTTGTATATGAAATCTCTCCTCACAACCATGTTCAATATATAAAAGTACCAGATTATATTCGTGTCGACAAAGCCGGTTATCCAAATACTTTTCAACTTAGAAAAATATTAAATATGAGCCGATGGCTTCGATTATCTCCGTTATGCGGAAATCGTATAAAATCCCAAATTAGTCCTACAATAGACCGAGCGGCCACAAAATATTTTTTTTTTTTTTTTGGAAAATCACATCACAAGCACATTTGAACTTAGTTCTCCTTAAGTCTCATGAAGGTATTTTGAAAGACCAATGGGTTAGTAGAAGACTAAACGGCCGTAAAAGAAAATTGTGTTATTCTATGGAAGACCAAGTCGTATAGAAAATCAAGTCTTGTGGAGTGTTCAAGGTCTTATGAAGGTCACGTGATCGTATAGAAGTCCAGGTGGTCTAATGGAAAACTAAACCTTAAAAAGTTCACGTCGAATAATGAAATAAGTTGCTCTACAGAAGACCTCGAAGTCTCATAGACGTCCAATGAGTATTGTAGACAATCAAGTGGCCGATTTTAAATCTCAGCATCTCAGCATCTCACACATCACAGTATTTTAGTTTAGCCAAGGTATGGTTTGAAATTGGGATATATCGATACACTCCTCTTTGTACCTCCCCCACAAAGGGTCAAAATTTTGAATGCTCATGAAGCTCATAAAACGCGAAAATAAAATCTGATTCCATTCAGACTTGGTAAATCTCAATATTTCGATCAACACAAGATCTGAACCGATTTCCACCAAATTTGAAGTACTTATTTCTAGGATGAATTCAGTCGGAATTGCCAAAATTCAGCCTATTTGGCCTGATATAAGCTATTTTGTGCACAGAAAACCTGAAATCGGAAAAAGGTTTATATGGAACCTATATCCAAATCTGAACCGATGTTGATAACATTTGGGCTTTATCTGATATCTGACACCAAATATCATTCTTGTGGAGTGCATCTTACGGATACGAGGAATTTAAACAACAACATCGGATGAAACATATGAATGGGAGCTATAGCTAAATCTGCACCGATTTTCACCAAATTCTATGTTCTCGCTTCTAGACTGAATTCGGTCGGATGCGCCAAAATTCAGGCCATTTGGATTGATATTGGCCATTTAGTGCAAAATTAACCCGAAATCGGTTGAAGGTGAGACCAATTTCAGACTGCTGTCATTTCTAAGCCACTCGTCCGACAGCTGTTAAAATTATTCCAGTGGCAGTTCATTATATTGTTTACAAGCGTACAAAAGCATTTTAGTGAGAATTTTCAAGGATAAAAGTTATTCGTGATGGAATTGAAGCGTGGAATTATATTTGGCTGGAATACGACAAGTGGCTATGGTTAGTGCACTCCAGCATTTAAATGTGAAAAGATCTTTTGTGTCTCGTACCATCGCTCCTTACCGTGATACTGGTAGCGTAGCCCGACGCCAAGGAAGTGGACGGAAGGAAACAGCAACATCTGCAGAGATGGTTCGAAAAGTAAAGAAGCGACTTGATCGAAACCTGCGTCGCAGTGGCCGACTATTGTGTCTGGAGTATTTTGGAAAGCATTGTTGGCACTAAAAAATACAAAAAGTGTCGATCACCTGAAGCAAGCGTGTCGCCGGTAATGGGCCAAAATACCGCAGAGCAACATTAGGGCAGTGTGTGACGGTTTTATTGGCCGTTTGAAGGCCATAATTCGTGCCAAAGGTGACCAATTCGAAGAAATCTTAACTTATTCTAAAATTTTTTGCTATTTCCGACATTTCTTGCTTTCCTTCAATGAAATTTAAAAAAAATATATAAAATTTATGGAGTTGGATTTTGTTGCAGTTTTTTTTTATATCACCCTGTATATTCGAGCTATCCCTATACCTAAACCGATTTTCACGAAATTTGATGTTCTCGATTCTAGACTGCATTATGTCGGATGTGGCAAAATTCAGGTAATTTAGACTGATATTAGTCATTTGTTGCACAATAAAACCGAAATCGGTTAAAGATATATAAGGGAGCTATATCTGGATTTGAACCTATTCTCACCAATTTCAATGGGGTTCGTCCTTGGGCCAAACAGATGTTGTTTGGAAAATTTCATTTCAATCGGTTAATATATGCGACCTGCATTTTGTTCACAAGAACACATAGACGGACAGACGACAGCCTAAATCGACTCAGAAAGTGATTCTATGGAGATCCTCAAAAGTAACTGCAGCTGGTAAAAGTTTTACTACAGGGTTGCCCATATTCGACGGACCCATCTGGCAACGCCATAACTTTTGACAGAGTTGTCACACCGCTTAATGACATACCGCGTTTGAAGCATCAGTCTAAGCAGATTTTTACCATGAACCAATACACGCCACGCGAGCGCTCTGAAATAGTTGAAATTTTCATTCAACAGAAGAATTCAATTGTGAAAACTCAACGTGCTTTTAAAACATTAAAAAAATGTGAGAAGTGCGCCTTCTAAGAACACCATTAATCGTTTATACGAAAAATTTTCGACTGGTAAGGCTCTTTCTAATCCGAAGAGGCCATATAAAAGTCGACCAAGGCGATCGGCTGAGAATATCGCTGCCGTACGAGCCAGTGTTGAGAGGTCCCCAAGAACATCCCAAAAACGCCGTTCTCAGCAGTTGGGCATGGCTCGGTCCACTTTACAACGGATTATTCGCATTGATTTGCATTTGTTCCCGTACAAAATTCAATTGACGCAAAGAATGTTGCCTGCAGACAAGCCTCGCCGATTGGAATAATAAAAAAAAAAAACATGGGTCCGTCGAATATGGGCAACCCTGTATGAGCCTATCTCGCTTCCTTCTCCATTTTACAAACAAATGCACAAAGATAAAAAATGTGCATGGCAACCCTCTCCCACCATTATCAGTTGCAGAAGCTCTGGTATTTGATTAACTATGGAATGGAATAATTGCTTCATTTGCAAGTGCAGATATTAAATTTGCACAATAAACAAGCTAATGGATTTTGGCTGGGAATGAAGGAGAGGGGAGAAGGGAAGGAGAGGAGAGCGGGTGGTCAAAAGAAAAGTTGGCGGGGCAAAGAAAGCTAAGTAAATTTTGCGATGCAGTTGTAAAAATGTTGCCTGCAACTTGCAACTGCTGCTGCTATATAATCTCATAAAATATTTAAATCAAGCAATAGTTTAACATTAACAACCCTTCAGACAGGGCCAGGCGACAAGCATCTCAGCCAGATGGAGCTAGGACCTTGGCAGCACAAAAGGAAATTAAAACGAAAGGATATCCATATATGATTTAAATTGGCAACTGAGTGTAACACATACGGATACGTAACGAAGGAGAAGAAGAAGTACCAGAAGGAGTAGAAGAGAGAGAGAGACATGGATAAAGTGTGTGTATGAAATGAAATAAACACAAGTTACATTAATTACTCTAATTAAACAAAATGCTACAGATATTCATCATCGTCGTCGTCTGCTTTGCCTTGCCTTTGCCCCTCTTCCTTATTTGACATGGGAAACAAATTCCAGGATATCTATTTGCCAGCATCTGATAGCCAAGTTTTATGTCGTTGCCCGAAGAGCTCCGGAAAGAGACATCGACGACGACGACGACATTGGCAACGGGTTACAAGTTCAACAAAACTCTTGCTGCAGCTGGTAAAAGTTTTACTTTTAATTACTTTGTGTTCATCATTAGTGCCGGGCGGTGTGGCAAAGCGGGCACGTAAATCATCACATGGCAAACGTTTCGTCATCCATGTGCCGCTGAAGATACGTACCCATCATCACATGCACACGGTGTATACCCATTTGCAGGGAGGGGGCGGAGAAGGGGGTGGAAAGAATTCTCATGGAGGTGGTGGTGGTGGTGATAGCTCCAAGGGTGCCACCAAACAGACAATCTATAAAATAATGGGTTATTCGACTCATCACACCAGTGCGGGGCCAGGTGGAGGAGGAGGCGGCGGAGGTGGCCGTGGTCGTGGCTTTGGCCATGGTTATGGCCACAGTTTTAGACAAGGTCACCGTGGTGGTGGCGGCCCCGCTGAAGGTTATGGTGAAATTAATTACGATGATTACCCCAATACTAGTTGTGCCAGTGGAGGTGGTGGCGGAGGAATTCCCGAAGACTCCCTTGCCCATGGCGACATGATATTCAATCATTATTCCAGACAGGACGATGAAGATGATTATCCCGATTTAGAAGAACTAATCGAAGAGGAGGATGAACATGAGGGTGATGAATGGTTGGAATAGCAACTAATCAATGTTTATTGATTTCCCATGGACGTGTGCTATCGAACTTACTCTATATTCCTTTGGTGAGAATATGTTATAGTTACCTAGAAAGAGAGAAAAAAGGAATGGAAAATAATTTATTGAAACGGATAAGGTGTAATGAAGGATCGGATTAATAAAAATGCTATAAAAGTGTATTATTTGAAATAAAGTGGTTTTTTATTAAAAACAAGTGGTGTTATAAGTCCTCAAAGAGTCTTACGCCGAACTAAGTAGTCATATGGAGGATTATTTGGGCTAAAACGAACAAAGATCAACACAAATACCATTTAATCTCTATAAACCAGAGTTCAGTTTTTTGTTTTTTATTTTTCTCGCGAGTGAAACTTACTCACGAATGAGAGTGCTCGAAAAGTTTACTCCCCACTCTTTTGTTTTACGCTTGCGAATTGCCCCTTTTGAAAACAAGTGGCGAGTCAGCTGTGGCTTGAGAAAATACAATTTCTTAGAAGTACTACAACCGTATAAAAAACAGTTAAAGAGTGCTCAGAAGGAGTAGACTCTGCTCGATTTCGAGTGAATTTCACTTTCGAGTTTTACTCTTTACTTGATTTTGAGAGAGCTTCGAGCTCCTAAACCTATGAAACTTCGAGCTTGTTCTAACATGAAATAAACTACATAAATTGACTCATTGAAGGTAAAATGCTTCCGATCCAAGACAGGTACTATACTGACACCTGAGGGACCCAATAATACTAAGCATTTGTTTTAGTTTAGCCTAAAGGTGCAATGCCATTTTTCATAATACCTACAGCCAGAGCTCAGAAAAGGAATACTCGATTTGTTTTTTTGTTTACTCGCAGAACAACTTCCTATTGACAAGTTGACGATATGGCAAAAACTAAAAGAGTACTAGGCAAGAATATAATCTACTCGATTTATTTTGGATGTTACTCCCATCTAAAACGAGAAAAACTAAACTACTCTCTTTCTTATGCAAGTGGCGTAGAAAAAATAGAGTATATGTTAGTTTTTCAACTCTCTCGACTACTTTCCTTATAATTTGAGTACAGAGAGAGAGAGAAACTCGCATGAGTTCGAGCAGAAAGAAAACCAGTTAGTCTCGATGATCTTAATCGATGATCTTAATGAAGAAAACAAGGTAGGCTCTTAAAATCCAAGTTGTCTAATAAAATAATAAAAAAAAAATAAATTATTGTTGTTGCAAATGGTCAGCAACGTTTGTTTATAAGTGGAGAACGATGGTAAAGTTTATCAGGGGGTAAGGCAGGGAATACCTAGGTTTCGGAAAGAGCCACCAATCCTCATCAGTTCCCTTGTTTTTGTCTGGGAAATTCTCCCCAGAAGTTATTTTAAAAATAACTTCTATGACAAAATACATTTTTTACCCAAGTGACGAGATCGTAAGCTCAATAGAAGAGGAACCAAAGAATTAATTATAACTAAAATTCTTTTGGAAAATCTTCTAAATCTTACAACCACACTTCTGATTCTCCACTAATAAACAAACGTTGTTTTTATAAAAACAACAATAAAGGGATTAAGCCTGACCATTTTGCAACAACAAAATTCTATGGTATCACTAACAAACAAAGCCAACACTGTTCTAAAATAAATTATTTTTAATAGAAAAGTGAGTGGTTTTATAAAAGAGAAAATGTTTCCAAAGAAGACCAAGGTGTCATGTTTATGTCAGACCTGCATATTGCCAAAAGATCCAGAGTGCGTATGTTCGCTGAGTACGGACCGTAGAGATATGTCTTCTTGGAGGCTACGTTCGTTTGGCACTGACCGTCGGGAGAACTTTTTTTGTACCCTCCACCATAGTATGGAGGGTATATTAAGATTGTCATTCCGTTTGTAACACCTCGAAATATATATTTTAGACCCCACAAAGTGTATATATTCTTGATCAGCCTAAAATTCGATGTGGATTTAGCGATGTCCGTCTGTATGCCCGCCTGTGGAAATCGCTCTAGCTTCCGAACGAAATGAAGTAGGTTGATAAAATTTGACTCAAATGTATATTATGTCTGCAGGACTTTTCGAATTGAAAATGAGCCATGTAGGTCCACGTTTTGGTACAGCTCCCATATAGTGATACCTCCCTATTTTCGGTAGTTTGATGATTTTAGCGAGATTATTCACCGGAATTGTTTCAAATTTGGTATTTGAAGTTCGTAATGGATACTACAGCCTAAGACAGAAAAGTGTCTGTGCAGGTACACTTCTTCGTATAGCCCCCATATAACGGTACCTGCCGATTTTCGGCATTTTGATGATTTTAGCGAGATTATTCACTGGAATTTTTTCAAATTTGGCATTTAAAGTTCGTAAAAAATACTACAGCCTATGACAGAAAATTGTCTGTGCAGGTCCACGCCTTCGTATAGCCCCCATATAACTGCACCTCTCGATATTCTGTCTTTTAATGATTTTAGCGACATTATTCACCGGAATTGTTTCAAATTTGGTATTTGGAGTTCGTAATGCAGCCTAAGACAGAAAAGTGTATGTGCAGGTCCACACCTTCGTATAGCCCCCATAAAACTGTAACTACCGATATTCAATATTTTGATGATTTTACCGACATTATTCACCGAATTTTTTCAAGTTTCGCATTTGTAATTGTAATGGCTTATAACAAAAGTTACCTATGCAGGTCCACGCCGTCGTATAGACCCTAATATAACATCTACATTCGGTATTTTTATTTATTTTATTTTTTTGAAAAATTGCCGAATTCGATCCAAATGGTACAGGGTATTCAAAGTTCGGCCCGGCCGAATTTACTACTTTTTTTATTTGTTTAATTTGGTATTTGATTTAATATTTCGGAGTCTGAGGATCTTGGTTCAAAAGGACAAACTAATTCAAGTTTTTGGGCTTGTAAGAAAGTAAAAAAATAGTTTCTGGTCTGAGGGTCATGGTAAAAAAAATGTTTTAAAAATCCATGATTCGGCATCTGAGGCTCTTACATTTTTCATCGAAAGGTTGTGTTGTAAAAACGTTAAAAAAATTAATATTTCTGGGTCTGAGCATCTTGGTTCAAAAATGTCAAAACAATTCACATTTTTTGGGCTTGAGGGTCTTAATAAAAAAAGTTTTAAAAAGTTGACCATTTTGTCTCTAAGAGGTTGGTTACGAAAATGTTTATATCCGCGTTTTTTAGTTTGGAGGGGTCTCGGTTAAAAAATGTTGCAAAATCCATGTTTTGAGTCTGTTTTGATAGGAAAATGTAAAATATTTTTATAGTTTGGACGGTCCTGGCAAAAAAAAGAAATGTTTTAAAAATCCACGTTACTGGATCTGGAGCTCTTGGTTGAAAGCTTTTTGATGACTCTAAATTTTTGGGTCGGAATGTTATATTTAAAAAAAAATAAATATTTCTGGTTCTGAGAGCCTTGGTTCAAAAATGTCAAAACCATTTAGGTTTTCGGGCTAGAGGGTCTTGGCAAAAAACATTTAAAGTTAAAACGAAAACGTTAAAAAATCCACATTTATAGTTTGGTGGGCCTTGGTGAAAAAATGTTTTAAAAATCCATATTTCTGAGTACCTCAGATCTTCGTTATTATTTTTTTTTTTTAAATTCTGAATTATTGGGCCGGAAGCAATTTTTTAAATTTTTAAAAAATCTATATTTCGGCGTCTGAAGTTCTTGGTTTAAAAATCTGAAAATAATTAACATTTTTGGGCTAAGGGTCTTAGTAAAAAAGTTCAAAAATCCTCGTACTTTTGGGTCTGAAGGTTTTGGTAGCAAAAAATCAATATTTACAGTTTGGAGGGCCTTGATTAAAAAAAGTTTTAAAAATCCAAGTTTCGGGATCTGCAGCTCTTAAATTTGTGTTTGAGGGTCGCAATTTAAAAATGTCAAAACTATTTATTTTTTTGGGCTTGAGTGTCTTCTTGGTAAAAAAGTTAAAAAACTTATGTTTTTTTGTGGTATCAAAATGTTAAAAAATCCACATTTATAGTTTGGTTGAAAAAATCACATTCATAGTTTGGAGGGTCTTGGATAAGAAATGTAGGTTCCAGGGTCTGAGGGCCTTGGATAGAAAAAAAACACATTTTGAGTACATATGTACGTTTTGGAGTGTGAGGGTGAAATAAAAAAATATAAATCCGAGGGCTTTGGATCAAAAAAAAAAAAAAAAATAAATAAATAAATAAATAAAATAAAAAAAATACAAAAAAAATGTTTTTGGATATTAGGGTCCTGTTGTAAAATTCGTAAAAAACCGAATTTTTGGTTTGTCAGGGTCTTGGTTAAAATATCCTCGTTTTTTCCAAAGTCTTTTTTAAGTCTAATAACTTATTATTATTTAAAAAAAAAAGTTTTTCCCAAATTCTCGTAAAAGAGATATGTTTTTTTGGTATCAAAATGTTGGTTGAAAAAAATTCACATTCATAATTTGGAGGGTCTTCATTAAAAATGTAGGTTCCAGGGTCCGAGGGCCTTGGATAGAAAAAAAAAAAGAACACAATTTGGGTACATATGTACATTTTGGAGCGTGAGGGTCTGAAATAAAAAAAATATAAATCCGAGGGCTTTGGATCCAAAAAAAAATTTTTGGTCTCAGGGTCCTGTTGTAAAATTCGTAAAAAACCGAATTTTTGGTGTGTCAGGGTCTTGGTTAAAATATCCACGTCTTTTTCCAAAGCCTTTTTTAAGTCTAATAAATTATTATTTTTTAAAAAAAAACTTTTTTCCGAATTCTCGTAAAAGAGATTTTTTTAAATTCATAATTTTATAAATTCACAAAAATTGTATTCCTAGATTTCCCTCCAAATGACCTTGAATAATAAAAATCCCCCCTCTGGCCCATATTAACACCTGCACTTCAAAATATAACGCACACCTTATTTATGATGAAATTAAATTTTACAACAACTTCATGCCATTGCCGAGAATATCCAATTATTTTGAATTGCATTTTATGCCATTGTATTGAGATTTCGTTTTTTTTTTATTTAAATGCCGACCAACAAATTTACCTGCCAAAGTGCCACTTGAAAATTCAACGACAACAGAAAAAAGCAAAAAAAAAAAAGTGAAATTACAACAAATTTTATCCTCGAAAAATACTCATGACTATTAATTCAGCCAGCCGCTTGAATTGTTGTTCCAAGTGG